GAAAACGTTCGTTCGCCTAACTTGACTTCCTTGATGCTTACATGGGTATCATGGCTGAACTTCACGAAACGTTTGCTAATAGGTGTTTCTGGAAAGAATAACTTGTACTTTTAGTACCTCCGGCGTTATAACAGCAAAGCGCTACTTCCTTTGTAATACCAGAACATGGCCCTGGAGCCATCAGCAAATCCACAACTTTCGCAGTTTTCACTTCGTAGAATTCACCACATGTCTACGTTAATCAGACATGTTTTTATCTGGCTTACAGACCTGCGCACGTGCTTTGCTTCTTAACCTCAGTTGGCATTTACATTCAGATGAAAAAAAACTGAGCCAGTAGTTCTCATTCTAGGCAATCGCTGGTGTTCTCTAATTTTCTAAATCGTTTGAACTCTTGGCATTTTTGCCGCCTTAGAGAAGACACCTTTGGTTAAAAGAGAGCAGCTTAATATTGTTTCGTTAGGAACAAGCCGTATAGGAACGTGCAAGTTAATGACCGTTTATTTAATCTTATGCTTTCAGGAATGCTGCGAAAGCTGAGAGCCAAAGCCAGTAAGTCGAATTTTGCACGCCTTATGTGATATCTCTGCCTGTAGTGTAATTGTAATTTTAGGATCTCATTGAAATGCATAACGTTCAATCAAATGCTCCTACCTTATAATAATGCACTCGCTTCTTCACTTCTTCCTATATTTTTAAACAGAAAAATTGGAGAAAGCAGCAAAGGGTTAGTTGATTTCATTCTTCCGAGTAACCGGAAAATGCTCCATTACTGTGACATTATAGATTCCTATTTTACAGATCTATGTAATTTTTGTTCTACTGTTAACATACAACCCCCGGCTAACAATCTCAGAGCTATACGATGAAGTGTAAATCGCTATCTTATTCTTTTCTATTGCCTAAGGGACCCATCAAAGTTTCCTCCTTTCTACTTAAGGCAGCATGAAAGAACTTTGTGCCCAACCATACCTTATAATTAGCTTCTTTCTCAATCAAGAAATAATAGGGATATTTATCAGCCTTAAACCTGTAAAAAAGGACTGCAGCCTCTAATAGCATATGCAAACTAACGGGCAAAAGACAACATCGTATTATTACAACCTCCTAAAGGCTTATGCCTCCAATGGTTTCAGTTTCGGATACAATCTTCTCAAGGGTGATATATAATTTATATTTCTGGCATTTTAGTCGGCGATGGTGACTACAATCGCGAAATAAAGAAAGGTATGTTTTAATTAGAAAAGGCCTTATTATGCTTCCGGCGTTCCATATGATATTTGGCGCAAACTGAACATAGTAGTCAAACTAAGATGCTGGTTATAACAGCTGGACTTTCGATTCCGATAAGGTTCACTGTGTGCCCACAGGAGGGCTGCTGGAGGTACAGTGAC